GCAGTGCGCGCGTGTGCTGCGGGCTGGCCTACCCCGAGTCTCGCAGGCGCTGAGCCTCCAGCAAATGTGCAGAATGAATGAATCTGAGGAAGAAAAAATCGGGACTGTGTTCTGGACTGTCCCTCAGGAAGTAAAAGGACTGTTCCCAATGCTGTGTTATCTCCCCAACGTGAAGTGTAGATGTATGGTGTTGGTAAAGAACAAATAAAAAATGATGCGATGTGATTTTTTTCAACAAATTTTTCATCACTAACGCGAAATGATTCCCCTACTTACAATTTCTTCTGCTGTCAGTAAATTAACTTACTGTATATATACTTGTAAAAATATACACAATAAGTAACAAATTAGTCAGTAATTCCTGCTGCATAAAAACGTAAGTGTCTTCTAAGAAATAAATCAGCACAGCAGATCTGTGAGAGTTAAAGGATTTGGATTCTTCGTAAAAAGAAAATTCAGTGCGGAGTAGGGTTTGAAGCCCTGGAAAATTTCCGGAAAATTTCTGGAAAGGACGAAAAATTTCCGGGAAAAATGAAAAATTTCCCAGATTTTCCTCGTTATTTTCCGTATACTTTTGAAAAGTTTCAGAAATTTTCCGGAAAATTTTGGAAATTTCCAACCCAAGTGCGGAGGGACTTTCTTCGCCCGCGGGCTGGATTCCCTCCCTCCGCACAATTTCAAAGGGAATCGTTCGCTCTGTTCGCCCGCCCTGCTGCTGCCGGGGGAGTAAACAAAGGCACAGCTGCCTTCTGCAGTAAACACACTGCTCCCCTCTCGGCCGTCTCAGTGCCCCGCTATTATAGGGACAATGCGTCGTCTGTGCGGGGTTGCGCCTCCTTGCAGAGTGGTGAGGCGGGATGGGGCGGGGCGGGCGGGGCGGGGCGGGGTGGGGTCCAAGCAGGGTCAGGGCCACCGCCCCGCCAGGCTGTTACAGGTTGGGGCTGGTCAGTAAGAGCTGCACCCACCCATCGTGACAAAAAATAATAAAATGCGCCAGGGTTTTACAAAAACACACACAAAAAAACAAAAACAAACAACAAAGCACCAGAAATGGATTTATATTTTTCACCCCACGATACATCCCAGGCCAGGCTCAGCCCACAAACGACCCCCGGAACATTTTGCACAGCTAGTTTTGGTTGTACTACTGAACCGTTTGCGAACTACTGACTCTGGCCATCGCGGTGCCCGGTGGTTGTCAAGCAAGGGGGTGTCACACACCGAGTCAGACGGTGTCAGACGGCTGACAGATCGTTTCAGACTGTGTCAGACGGTGTCAGACGATGTCAGCCGGTTATCGCATCGTGTCAGACGGTGTCAGACGGTCATCCATCAGCATCACACCGTGTCAGACGGTGTCAGACTGTTGACAGATCGTGTTATAAGACGGTGTCAGCCAGTTTATCACATCGTGTCAGACGGTTGACAGATCGTGTCGCGGGCCGCGTCAGTCACCTCCCCCTCCCACGGTTCGGCCGCACCGGCTATTCCCGGCGCCGCTGACGCCGCCCGCTAAGTTTACCGCCTCTCCTCGCCACGCACGCCGTCGTGTGCGTCGTCTTATGCTAATGTCGTCTGCTAGCGTCGTCTGCTCCGACAATCGCCTCCCTCGCGGGCGGGGTGAGTCACCCTGGTCACCCGCCCCGCCCCGCCCACGCTATGGATCTTTGGCACGGTCCTAACAGAGCCGTAATGAGACAGGACTTAGAATCCACGCCATTATTCCTGTGCACAACGTGTGGTGTAGGGTTGGAAATTTCCCAAATTTCCCAGAAAATTTCCGAAAACTTTCCGAAAATACACGGAAAATAATGGAAAACTTTCCAAAATCTGGGAAATTTTTCATTTTTCCCCGGAAATTTTTCGTCTTTTCCAGAAATTTTCCGGAGAATTTCCAGGCTTTCAACCCTAGTGTGGTGGTGTGTGGTGTGTTCAGTGGGACGTGTGTCCTGCGCACCCGCCGCCTCGCCCTACCGCACCGCACCCCGCCCCACCCCAGCCGACCCCGGCCGGCCCCGCCCTCTGACAGCGCGCTGCTCTCAACAGATCACAAAGCTGCTGCACGTCGTTGTCGTGTACACGGTTTCGTGTACTACGCCACGTGGAGGTGGCTGTGTGAAGCCGGGGAACTTGTTCTCGTAGTACCTACTCGGTC